CCAAACCCCATCTCTTGAAACACGAGTCCTCATCTTGAGTTTTTAACTGACAATATTTCTACAGGCAGTTTCTAACCACACCAGATCAGGGATCTCTGTACTCTTCAGAGCTAACTCCGTTTGACTGGGTAGGGAAATTCTTCTTTCTCTAGAAGATCTATCCCCTTTCCTTGGCCTGAATGGGAGTCTCTGTCTAACTACCCACTGATCCTTGCCAAATTTCCCCAGTTCTCCTGTCTGTGTTAAACTGCTCTCAGTCAGGGCTGAATTCCAAATGAATTCTCCTCCTCAGCATTCAGCTATAAAGTCTCTGTCTGCTCAGCTGATGCTAACCAATCAGATTGCTTGGAGCAAACTGTCACTCAAGGCTCTCTGTTCCTGTGGAGAATTAATCATTCTTTTAAACTTTTAAGAAGTGCAGCCTGTCACAGTTATATTTTCATTTGGCATACAGGATTCATATGGCTAAGTTACTCCACGTATTCTACTCATAGAATTCAACACAGTGACACATGAGGGAGGAATGTAGATCAGTCTTCAACTAGAGGAGATACAACTGTCTGATGAGAGATTAGACAACATTTCAACCCTTTGTACATTTCAAGGGTTTCCTGAAGCTCTGCTTGTGTATATGTCTCATGTAGCTACTAGTCACAGAGACTGCTTTGACCCAGTGGAGCTGCAGACAAAACATGTGGAATAGCTCTTTGTTACAGTACTGTTCGATGAACTATTATGAAAATTATTTGCTATCATATTCCAGGCATGTTTGTACAGTATAGCCAGGCAGAAACTTTATACAGGCTGGGCTAAACCTTCCCTAGAATTGGTTCAGCCTTTGACGATTCACAACTCAACAAAGCTGTTTGAGGTCATCCTAAACTAGCCGTTTCAAGGACCCAAACCTAAGTCCCTCTGAGACACTACCCCTTGGGCAAGCAAGCAGCGCTCAGACCTATGGGTCCTCAAGGTTATCTGCACACAGGAAACCAGATCTTGGTAAAATATATGAAGGTATATTGAATACTTACGAAATAAGATATCACTAGGCAACATAGTCTCTACAATCCTGCAGCAAGAAAATAAGAAATGCTAACTTCTCCATCTAATACTTCAATACCTGGTATTTAGAATATCATAGTCCAAGCTAGGGATTTAAGCATTGTCTACATAGTGGTCCATCGTCAGAGCCACTGCCCAGTCGAATCATGAAGTTAGCATGGCTTCCCTCTTGTCTAGGGCTTCGTTATAGTCTTTAGCCATCTGGCATCAAGTAGTCTCCCCCAACCCAAACAGGGAGCTCGCTTGATGGAATCCTCCAGAAGATGATGACATCCCCTCCTGCTTCCCCCCTCCTATCTAGTTACAGAACTGAACATGGTTTCTCACAATAGCCAATTACCACATTCTTGAATTCGGCCTTCTTGAAGGAAATAAGGATGTCCTAGGTAGAAGGGCATGATTACAGACATCTGCAAGCTGGAACAGGCCTGCTAATATTCATGTTAACCCTTGGGTGGGAAAATCAGGTTGCTTTCTCTCACAAGGGTAGCTAACCTTTTTATTGGTGAGAGTTTCCCAGGGGGAGTTCAAACCCCAGAGCTACTTCTTGAGGGGAGCAGTGGTGGTGGGTCTCTTCTGCTCCCATACACTTCATCTTCTGCATGCTCTCCTCCAGGGGTCATTTCGTAGAAAAAGAGCTAGGGGAACTCATTAGCATAACTCATTAGCATATGTCACACCCCCTGACATCACTGGAAGTGTGTCATAAGGCCACACCCCCTGACATCACCGGAAATGTGTCATAAGGCCACACACCCCGCCCCCAACGGTCCCGGCCTCCACCGCCGGCCTTGCAGCTCAACTGCCGAGCCCCATGAAGGGCCCGGCGGTGGACTTGCAAGGCCGGCGAGAGTGCAAGGAAGCCCCGCAAAGGCCCTCCCTGGCCCTAGGCAGACAGGGGTGGGGAGAGGCAGGGAGGAAGCAACTTACCCTCCCTCTTCTCCTGCCTCCTCCTGGCTGAATGAGGGCCGGAAGCGGGGCGGCCGGAAGCAGGGGGCGGGGCTTTGTCATGTGCCTCGCCCCCCGTACTTCACCCGGGGGAACTGTGTTCCCCCGCGTTCCCCCCCGAAATGACCTCTGCTCTCCTCCCTCACCATTGAGGCACCACTATCAGACTATCACACACATCAACACCAAACAGCTGGACTCCAGAGCTGGCTGGGCACATCCTGTCTCTGCCTGCTGTTTGGTGCTGATGAAGCTAGGCTACACCCAGAGGCTGTTGAGTCCACAGGCATCCTGAACTCTTCAGCTATTTAGCACTGATAGGAGGGAGAAACCCTCCCTTCCCATTGGTGCTATACAGCTGATGGAACTAGAGAGTGCTGGGCAGGTTCTTGAGTCAACAGGGGAAGTGGCGAGCTGCCAGTAATTTGTGATTAGCAGTCTGATGACCATTGCCCTAAACATGTGAAAACCTTATATTTTATGGCTGCCTTCATGTTATGCAACAGCTTGCAGTGTTTTAGACTGTTTAATGGCAGTGGCGGTGCACTCATGATGAAGCTACAAGAGCATCTTATACAACGTTTATGAGATCCTATGAGATGGCAGTCAAAGGGGGCGCGGGGTGTCGGTCGACTGAATGGCGGACGCTAATTGAAAGAGCTCTGGATGATCCCTCCGTAAACCCCACCAAAAAATAAACAAATACCAGTATTTTGCCTAAGCAAGGCATGGGAAAATCCAGCCGAACACACCATTGACCAGGAGATCCCGCAGCAGCCCGTTTAAAAAGCTTTTTTCAATTCGATGCAGCGAGCGGCACGGCAACAGACCCGTGCCAAATCGAGCCCAACATGGCGTCCGGATCATCGCACCAATCGCAAGTACAGACCACGCTAATGAAGCAAGATATTACTGATACTTTTCGGCAGTTTAAAAACTAAATACGTGAAAATTTTAATACCATGCTAAAACCTATCTCGGAGCAATTAGAAGCATTGCAAATATCAGTGCAAAAAATAGCGCAAACTGCTGATACAGCAATGGAAGCCTCAATAGCAAATCAGGAAGATATTAGGCAATTGCAAGATAGTGAAACTTGGACCAAAGAGCAAATCCTTCTTCTAAAACAGAACGAGAGAGAGATTTTTGAAACTAAGAGGCTTTCCGGAGCAAGCGGAAGGGACAGGATCTAACAACATTCCTAGCGACATGGCTTGCTTCCGTTATACCCTTTGAAGATGACATCACACCAATGCTCATAAGAGCCTACAGATTAGGCCCTATTGTGACAAACAAAAGACGAGGACCTCGAGATATTCTTGTGGAATTTCTTGATCTACCTGTTAAAGCTCGTGTCCTACAAGAAACCAGAAAAAATGGCAATTTTAAATTTAAGGAGAACGATATCTTTATTTTTCCTGATGTCCCACCTGAAGCTCTTCAGATTAGAAGAACTCTCAAACCAATCACTACACGTCTCAACGAAGCAGGAAT